TCTTCTCCTGTACTTTTGCAACTCATGTGTGGAAATGAGGCTATGATTTGGCTTCGTTTCAGGTTTAGGAGTTGTGATTGGAATATCTTGATTAATTGGTTTGCAACTCGACTCGTGGTTTGAATCGTTCGCTACAAAAATGTTCGTAGACTTGCGTCAGCTGATATGGCCTACGCTATTTGGTAGAGCGCAGCAGGAGGCTTCATAATTTTAATTATGTGTTTGTGGCTATATATCATTCTCATGCTTCCAATTAGAATCAGGATTGGGTCTATACATTGTATTAGGTGGTTGTTTGTTTATGGTCTTCGTGATTATTTGCCTTGAGGATATGTAGCATTCGGGTAAGCCCGAGTTAATATGTAAATGCTTTTAACGCTCACGGCGATGAAAATTTTATTTTCATTGACCAGAAAAAAAAGTGTATCATAATTATACTAATTGTAGTTGGTCCATTTTTTGCTTTTTCTTTCTGTTCTTCTGTTAGACGAAAAAAATGTATTTAATTAAAATTTTTAACATACTTGAATAATTATTACAGTCTTGATAGTACTTATATATCAAAGGTTAGAAGTCACAAAACTTTCCCGAATTTTGGCCCATTTTGAATTAGCCCATAATCATACTCTCTTTAAAAGTACAAGTTCGGTAAATTCTTTCTATGGTCAATATTACCCTTAATTTTTTTTAAATATTACATTGTTATCCTAAATCTATTCTAATTATTTTATCTTTTTTGAATTGGTAATCAAATGATTTATTCTATTTATAATAAGACTTAACGTGTTATTGGATATAATAGATATGTTTCATATAATTCAAGTCCTTTACTTATTTCGTATAAAATAGAAATCTAAAAAACATATGCTAGTTAGCATCTAAAAGTTTTTGGACTTTGTAAAAAATATTCTCTAAGTCTTTTAAATTGCAAAAACACCCCTTTCAAAATTTTATTAAAGCATATTAAAAGTTTTTTGACTTTGGATAAAATGTCTTGTAAGTTTTAAAAATTATAAAAACACCCCTAAAAATTTAAAATTTATAAAAAACACATTGAAAATTTCAAACCTATGAACATACTAAACACCTACAAATAACACAAACAACCCCCAAAAACTTATAAAATTTGTAATACATACTTTAAAATTTTATAAATTGTAAAATAAAATCCTCAAAATTTTATAATTTACAAAAACACATATGCTAACTAGAAACTGAAAGTTTTCTAACTAGAAACATATGCTAAATAGAAACTGAAAGTTTTCAGTAAAAAATCTGAAAGCCATATGCTAACTAGAAACTAAAAGTTTTCTAACTTTGGAGAAAAAATCTTGTAAGTTTTAAAAATTATAAAAACACCCCTAAAAATTTAAAATTTATAGAAAAACACCTTAAAAATTCAAATCTATAAACATACTAAAAACCTACAAATAACACAAACAACCCCTAAAAATTTATGGAATTTATAATACACACTCTAAACTTTTTACAAATTATAAAATAAAACCCTTAAAATTGTAAAATTTATAATAAATCTGATAATTTCTGACCTAACAGTACATTAAAAATATAGGAAGTATAAATATCTTATATATAATTTATAATTTATAGAAAACACCCTTAAATTTTCAAAAATTACAAACAAACGTTTAACATTCAAAATTTATAAAAACACCCTAAAATTTTTAAATTCATTAGTAAATTGAAAGCATAGGAATTATAAATAGTCTATAAATAATTTACAATATGTAGAAAATACCTATAAGTTTAAAAAATTTACAAAAAGTCCTTAAAATTCATAATATATAAAAAAATGCCATAAGAATTTCTAACCTATAGACACTAAAATGAATATGTAAAATTACTAATAACCCCTAAAAAATTAAAATTTTATAAAAAATATCATACACATTTTAAAAAGTATAGGTTTAGAAAAAACTTTTCATGGTAAATAATACCCATAACTTTTAAAAAAAGAACATAACTAAATGAAAATCTATTAAATTTAAATTTTATAAAAAACACCCTTAAAATATAGTATATTACAAATTACCCCTCCAAAGTTTGAAAATTTTCAATAATTTTTTGTAATTCCTTGATTTCAATGTAATGTTTAATAGTTTTATGTATTTATAAGTTACAAATTTTAGGGTGTTTTTTATATCTTTTAAAACTTTTGAGGGTGTTTATTTTGTAGTTTTCTAAATTTTATTGTGTTTTTAGTGTAATGCACATATATATCAATTAATAATGATATTGAAGAATAAGTCGTTCTTAATATTATTAGACCATAGTTAAGTATGCATATCACTATTCCTAGATAGTATAGTTTATATATACAAAAAAATTTAGATAATCTATATAGTGGTTAAATTTTTTTTGACTTTAATGTGCTATTTTTTATAAATTATATTTAATACGAACCCACCATATAATTTTGACTATGATCATTATAATTTTAATACATTTGATTGATTGATTATATACGTATATAGACCATAAATTAATTTACTTTCTCACACGAGCTAATATTTAGTGCTTAATATAATTTAAATTATTACTTTTAAAATTACTATAAAGATGAGCTCTAATAATATTTATTTATTTACCTATAACATAATACAATCTCAATTCTTATTTTTTACTGGAGATTTATTCCATAGTTATGCGTATCAAAATAGTAACTAAAATAATAATTATTTATGCTTAAATTAGGATGATTGTAGTTGGTCACTCACTATGGAATTTTTATGAAGATGTATACCTTACTTTTTATAGCTATCTGCACTGTCCATATATATTTTATAAATTAGTTTTTAATTTGACATATTAAATTACTTTTTCTTTGTAGAAAAATTTTCTTTGACTTTTAGACAGTGTAATCACTATGTCACCATTCTAGCATAGAAATGACCTCACTCTAAATGACTTCAAGCTAATGTTTGAGTTGCACCGAAGTATATACTATTGCTATTATGTGTATATATTTAAAAAAAAAATCATGTTAACACTTTTTAAATAGAAGAAAATATTCTAACCTCTGATATTATAAAAACTAAATATAATAAATTGAATG